ATAAAAAACAAACAAAAATAAACTTCAAAAAGAAATTAGAGCTTATTGAAGAGAACCACAAAGATGCACACCCGGAAGTGACGTCACCGTGGCGGGAAGCTGCCGGCCAATCAGGGGCGTTGTTGACAGTGCGAGGCCGACGGTCCCCACGTGCAGAGGTCGCCCCGCGCCGCCCCACGCCGCTCACCGAACACAACGTGGTCACCATGCGTGGGATGGAGAAGACTTACTTTTGGGGTGAGATGTGTGGCTTTTTCGTAACTCGGAAGGGGTGGTTGTGTTTATTCTCGTCAGAATTCGAAGGAGGATTAGCCTCCGGGGATGGCCTTTCGTAGTTTTTTTTTAAATTCGTTTTTGTTATTCTACGTTTGGTATTTTACGAGACGTGACGTTTCTCTTTGCAAATGGACGGGTTTGCACTTTGCATTTTTTTATTTACCATGTTGCCGTTTCTCGCTTGCATCACGATAACCGCCGACGCAAATACCCCCAGTCAGTGCAATTCGACCACCAAAATACCCTTTTCCACGTAGCATAAACTCTTAAAGTTATAAGTGTAAATGCTAATCACGTGTACGAATGCTGCTCCCAACACGAGCCCTTTTACCGGCATGCCAATGGAGCTGCTCGTTGGGCTCCGAGTCACCGAAATACAAAGCCGGAAGGAATTCTGATGCAGTTAGATAATTATAATATTTATGAGAATTGCTTGTTAGTCTCTGTGGTAGGAGGAGGAGGGACAAGGAAAAAAGGGGAAGGAGGAAGGATGGATGAGAGAGAGAGGGAGGGAGGGAAGGAGGGAGAGAGAGGGAGAGAAGGAAAAAGAGGGAAATATAGAATTGCCAAGGCAAAGATGATCTGGTTTTGCATGTTCTATTTTCATTTATGATCTTTATTTCCTGATTTCGTAAATTCCTTTCTAGTTTTCCTCTCCCCAGTTTCCTGTTTCTTTTTCCTCCTCATTGCTTATCCTCTCTTTTCTTATATTGTGTGTTCTGACTTGTAGGCTTATATATTTGACATAATCCTTGTGTTGCAAAATGTTGAGGTTTGTAGAGAGTTATTTTGGAAGTAAGTAAGTTAGAAATGTATTTAGGAAATTCCAGTTTAGGGAAATTGTTTGTGTGAAGTTTGGAATTTCCTGAAGTAGTTTTCAAGGTGTGGTATTGAATACCTGAATATTTTGACTTGCATTTTGTTATTTTGATTTTGGGTTAATGTTTTTAAGAGTAATGCACAGAGATAGAAGGATACAGATGCTACCATCTTATAGAGAAATATTCATAAACGACACGGATACAGCTGCTGAGGCCTCGTATGCACCATGAAATGACGAAAAAATATATGCTGCATATCACTGCTTAGAGACAACACCCTCACACAGCCAGAGTTCTTAATATTCATTTTCAATAAGTTGGCATGAAGTGCTGTTAATGGGGGATACAGTAATTCAAAGGTAGGAAAGGTTAGGGTTGTGATTTTGGGGATTACAAGATACCCTGGTGTTGGTACTACGTCTCTGGAGGAGCATTTCTATAGGTAACAAATATGATGATTTTTAAGGTCCTAGTTATCTGAGTCTATTAGATTTTTTTTCATAAATATTGTTAGCATATTCATACTTTTGCCACAACCCTCCACTATGAATCCTGTGGCCTCCTTGTCTGTGTACATTCAAGTATATTCTGGTAAGATAAGCTTAGAGCCTTGCTTCTGATTCATTGGCAAAGAAGGAATCAGTCAGAGCTCTATCTTTCCATAATATGTGGTAGAGCTTTGTTGGCCTTTGTCAGAATGTAAAAATCCTGTAAAGATTTCTGGTAAGGTGATTTAAAGGTTTTTGAAGGGCATAAAGGATGTTTATGGCTCATAAGACAAGGTTTATGGATTCTCCTAAGGTTGACTGGAATAATTGAGACTAGTGCTCATATTCAGAGAGACTGGACACCTTAAATGGAGAGCTGGACAGGCATCTTGTGCCATCAGCCAGTCACTATTGGCTGTGGTGTCAAACAGCCAGTCTGGCTCTCCATTTAAAGTGTCTAAAGTGTCTGAATGTGAGCATTAGTCTTAGAGGGGCATGGGCACTTTTATGATACCAAGATTAGTTGTTTGCTATTATGTTCCACTCCATATCTTTGGTAAAATCATTTATAAATAGATCATAAAAATATTTCTTGTTCTTTCAGGACTTACCCTTGATGGGTCTACAAAAGAAAAGAGCTGGGAAGGCCAGTGTGTACTGAATAACCTTGAAGCCACAACTACCACACACACACTGTCAATCAGACAGGTAAGAATTGCAGGACTGTTTCGTGCAGAATTCAATTTGGGAAACCTTACTTCTGGTTTGCTGTATTGCCATTTATAATTGTCCTGTTTCAAGAGCTGGGAATGAAAGAAAAGGAAGATGTATATGTTAGTTGGGTATAAAAATGGTTCTTGTTTCACACTTTTGACTTTATTGTGTAGACTTTCCCCTTCATGATTCATTATGAAGTCAGCTAGTTTGCCCTGTTTATATATGTACACAGATAGCTATCAGTATTATAAAGATGTCACTTTAGCAATAAAGATCATTGTAGATAGGAAATACTTAATGATGTTAATACTTGTTGGCAGACCTTATAGCTCGCAGTAAAGGTTTCTCTTCAGTGGATTTCATAATTTTTTATTATCGATTGTAAATGTTAGTGTTCCAAGTATTATTACAGTATTCTTGAATTAGTTAATTTAACATAATTACTAGTCTATCTCTGATACAATTGCATGTTCTAATGTAAAAGATTCATTAGGCATATATAGGATGATTTTCTGTTCATTATTTCATACAGCTATTTTCCTTTTTTTCTTCACCAGTTATAAATCTTGTGTATTTATTCAGATTCCATTGATATTAAATTCATATTATATAGATATTGATTGATTTTATAGAAATCCATTTAAAGCAAATCTAAAAACTTCTCATTAATGTAACTTGTTTTGTCTTCAATGCCTAACAGTCCCTCTGCCCAACAGGTCGTCTTAGGTCCCGAAGCCAAGGAAGGGGAGGTCAATGTGGTTGAGCTTGAGGTCAAAGGTTACAAGGACCAGAAACACAAAATCCCTGTGTGCGTCACAAAGGCAGGAGGCTCATATGTCACAGGCGTCGATGTAAGTTTTTGTGAGAAGCTCCACTTTCATATTTGATTGTGATTTTTCCATAATTTTTCAATGTGTCAAGAATTTCTTCAGATGGTCCAATGGCCATAGCTTCATTCATTATCTATAATGGTCTGGAATTTGTAGTAATCAGCTGTTAATATCATTTAGGAATGAATTGGACTTCTAAGATTTAGCTTTCCTTATCAGTGATTGGGTTTTAAGTGTAGAATTTAAGAACAGAGCTTGAAATTTTTCTTCCAAAAGATTGGTATTTTTTTGTTGTTGCTAGTCTTACATGCCATGCATAGGCTGAAGTTTATATATTTGTTTCATGAAAGTGATTTACTGTTTGGTGGACTGTCTTTGATACTGAACAAATTCTGCAGACTTCTATTGCTGTTGGTCGACTTAAGTAATGAGTCCCATGTAGTGGCTCTCCCTCTCACTCTCAACAGATTTTTCCCATGTTTAGGAAGCGAGTTGTTTTGGGGAGAACAATATAATTCTCACAGATTCCCAATTCGTCCATTAGTTGGATAGTCTATACTAGTTAGTTATATGCGGTTCCTGGATAACTACTTTTGGGCTGCTTACTACTGGCTGTGATATGTTATTTGTTTTTATGACTGTATTGGCTCCTCATCTTTCAGTTCTTAGTCAGGTTCTGCTGAAATATCATGAGCACTAATTTTAACAACTTCCACAAACCAAACTCATTCTTGTTGGTTCAAAACATTTAACCCCCAGAGCTATTGAGGAAGAGTTGAACACCAACCCGATATGAGTAAAAAGATGTTGAAATTGAATTTCAGATTTCGGAAAAAGCTTTGCAAATGTAGAAATACAGAATGAAATGTTTAAAAGCTAAACAGACAGGGATTGAAAGCTAAACATTGGGATAGTTTCCTTTAAATCAACACTATTTTTGCTGTATATCATTTCATCTGTTTCAGATTTTTTCTGTAGTAAAAGGTACTAATATAGGTTTTTCAGGAAAGAGGATTGAATATTTGGAAGCCATGGGATACCCCTAAATCATCTGTGTACTGTAGCAAGGTCTTAGAAATTCACACCTGCTATCAGCATTTCTTTTGTATTATGAAATATATAGAGTAATACAGTACTCATACCCTGATAGAAATTGATTTCTTCTCCAGTAATATTTTTATGGGTAGGACCATAGATAATATCAGTTTGTACATTTTTTTTTTTTTTTTTTTTTTTTTTTTTAAGAAACTTATATATAGTTTTGTGCTCATGCTAATCAGATTGAAAGTTGATTGTATGAAATATGGTTGAAATATGGATGGTATGGCCACTTTTATTGGAAAGTTGATTAAAAAAAAATCTTTGTTGTAAAAATGAATGTTCATCTAGATTGATGTAACTATGAGTAAGAATGAAATGTATTTCTTTAAGCATGATATTGAAAGGTCTCGCATGTACTCACCTAAAGCATGTAATTTTCATGAAGGTAAAGTATTAAAGATTTTTTTTATGCATTTTCTTTTACCCTCCCAGGTCCTAATAGAAGACACCCCAGCCGTCTTCCGTCTGACACAGGGCTCAGGGCCCATCCACCTCAGTGGGACACACCAAGTAGAGACGACAATCATTGAGGATGACATGGACGACAGCTTGGCTGAGGAGGAGGGCGAAGAGGAGGATGACGTCGAAGAGGAGGTGGAAGAATTGCCAGTAAGTTCGTCTTGGACTTATTGATTCGTGCCGGGCCTTGGTTTTTAAATTTTTTACTTTTTGTAGCTGCTTGGTGATGGAAGTTGTTTGATTGGGAATGTTGTCAGGGCTTTAGTTAAACTTGTAGAGTTTTTTTGTTTTGTATTTTTCAACCCCTCCTTCTGTTTTCTTGTGTAATTTCTAACTCTTTACTGGATCAAAATCTCATTCATGCATACTAATGTATAAGTATTTATATTTAGTATTTTGCTACCAGGCAACTCTTTTGTGTGTTTGTGTTGACAAAAATGTACTTTTGAGAAAACAAACTTAGAAATGTAGAATAGTCTTGTAAATGTAGACAAATTAATCCCAATGAACAGTAAAGAGTTAGATTGCTTGTATTTGTAGTTGTAAGATACAAAGGTTTTGAGGTTTATGGAGTAAGGGACACATGTAAAGACAAAATTTTCAGGAATTAGAATTAGTCCAGAAGACAATTGGGTTGTCTATGTACATAAACCAAAATGTAAATATCTTGAATGTAGTGAATAGTTCTGTTGCTCCTCATGCCTTAATCATGTAATAAGTCGATCGTTGAAATTTACATCTATGTATGTTGACAGCCCTCTCCTTATTAAGACCTTAGTTTAAGACTAGTTAGAAGTAAGATACTATTAAGTTCTTAGAGCCACAAGGAAAAATTGTAATAGACCCAAAACTTTGTTACCAGAGGAATAAAGGATAGTCGCCTATCTGGGAGGCTGCGCAAGTAGGATACTGTCCCACTGGATCCTAAATGGTTAGCAAGTAACTCTTTTTATTCCACATTACCTTGTTAGAATTGTTGCCGTGGAGTATTTTGTAAATTTAGCTGTATTTGGTCTTGTATAGCATGTATCAAGAAGGGAAGAAAGGTTTTTTTACCCTTGTATTTTGTGTTTTAGAATTTGGACTAATTTTAAAAAATATGATTATAGATTTTGAACCCTTTTTTTTTTATAAGTGTTGCTGGTATTTGGGATTTGATGGGATAGCTATGTGTCCATTTATTCTTCTGATAAGGAGTCTGTTTGTATAATGTATCCTAAGCATAATTCTAAAAGTATTTAGACTGGAGCCTCTAAATAGAATGAACAGTTTTTTTGTATTATTTTTTTGGGAAAGTGAATATTTGTAGTTATTTGTAATGAGATGCCCTTTTCTTCTTTTTAACAGCCAAAGAAGAAAGCCAAGAAGTAAATTTTGAAGGAATTGGATACATCAAAGCTTCAAGACATTGCCATGTTTTCTATCCAGTCTTTAAAATCATTGTATGATTGTGTGTCTGTGTGATTGATAAAAGATGAGAGATTTCTTTGTTTTTTCTTGTCCTGAGAAGAGTTCGGTTAAGATTATTAACCCGTTGCTGCTGGGAATGGCATGTATATGTCATGCCTACTATGAGTTTGTTTGTTTATACATAGATGGCTTCAGAAGTGCTTAGTCACCAAATCATTGATTACTAGTTCTTTTTTTTTCTGTGATTTTATATTAGTTAGTGTATTGCATAACATTATGATGATTATAATATCAGTAGTAATGGTAATGTGTTAATAGCATAAAAAAAAGAATCACAAACTCCGGGCAAAAGGCAATCAAGTCTTCTAATTGAGTCATTGGTGATTAGGCACATCTTGCAACTTACTATATGCAACAAAATGAGGTGGAAAAGCAGGGTCAACACCATTGTGAAAAAGTTAAGGTGACTTACCATATTTGTGTACAGTATAATAGACAAAGCTTATCTGATTACTGAAAGAAAATTCTACCACTAGTAGAGGTATTAAAAAATTAAATTCTTGGTATTTTGGGAGACCATAGTATCTAGAACTCAATCAAATGATACTATAATCCAAACATGAAGCCTTCAGGAGTTTGAGAAAACCCAGAAATAATTTTTTTTTTAAACTGGACAAGGTTGAGATTTCATATATAGAAATTGACATAGGCTACATGTAAATATGTACCATATGTTGTGAAAATAGCCTTGTCAAGGATTAATAAGATTTTTTTAATGTCAAACCCCTGAAAATCAAACTTGGTAGCCAATCAGTTATGCCTGACTGCTTTTGGCTAATTACAGCAAAAAAAAAAAAAATACTTGACTGCTTGAAATATGAAAGATGGTTAACTTTGAAGAATACATCAGTTTACAACAGTTTCCTAAGTAAACTGATGTATTCTTTGTAACCATTAACTCTTGATAGCTGAAGTCGCCAATAAATTTTCACTGCTAAAACTAAGCAGTTTCTAAATGCAAACCAATGCAAATCTAAGGCCATGTCTACACAGTTGAACAGTGCTTGGTGGAATTTGCCTGTTTATTGGTTGAAGCTTATCATGACAAGGGTGCTGGTATAAGCAAGGTTGTTCATTCATACTAGGGGACATGTGGCCTTATCTTGTCACTTTGCCTGATAATGGGCATGGGCATGCTGTTGGCTTGCCTGTCAACTTTGCCATAAAAATAGGCATTAAATTAAGCAACATTGCCTGTCAGGCAGTGTTCAGCTTTGTGGATGGGGCTTTTTAGTTTGCATCAAGAAAAGGATTTACCAAATATCCACTTTCTGTTGAATTGATATGGATAATGCAAAGTGAAAAATGGTAGTATAAATAAGAGTAGAAACCACTTCACAAACACCAATGGACTGGGCCAGTGAAAGGTATTAAACCTGTTTATTCTGAAGAAAATTTAGTCTCATTTGGTGGTAGTTTATATTTTTAGGGGAGCAGTTTGCCCAGCCACCTGCTTCTGGAGTTAACCTTTTGAATTTGAAAATGTGCTTACAATAGAGTAATGATGAAAGGTTCAGAATTTTACTGGGTCACAAGTATACACAAGGTATATATTTGTCTACTTTTTAGGATCTCTGGACAAGACCTTTAAAACTTGTAAAGGATTAAGAAGTCTTTTTGTGCTACATTTTGTTACTCTTACAGGTGATGCAATATCTTACTTTGCAACTTTTAGAAGTTCACTGAGCAGAACATTTCATGACTCATGGTTGTTTATACAAATGAAGAGGGCTAGAGGGTTTGATTTCTTAATATTTCAAACATAAAGCATTGAGAATTTTAGATGGGAAATTAGTTGTTAGGTATATTTATGGTGAATAGGAGTTTCAATATGCAAGTAATTCCATTTATAGGTTCATCAGAAAAATCTAATCAAAACTGGTTAAATATATATCTTATATTGTAAAGATACTCATTCTCATTCATACCTTTTCTACATTTGTAAATATGAATATGGTTCATATCTAATTAAATCAGATAGCTATGAATAGTGTCATATTTATTTTATACTATTTTTTTTGTTCAATGGCCAGTGCTGTGAAAACCATATGCATTTTTATGCTTTGAAAATGTGTATACTTACTGAAGGTATGCCATATAAGTTTGAAAATAAAATGTATTTTTATACTGAATGGCTTTTGTTAGAACAACACTTAAATGCAATAAGATTTTGACAGTACTGTTTTTTTCTTGTATCCTTAAGGCTTCATTTGAGATTCCCACTGCATTATGCAATTTAAGCCAATTAATTTACTAATTTAATCTTATAATCTTCATCTTTTAGCAAATCAACATAGCAGAAAAATGCACAAACTAAAGTTACTTTTACAAGGTTAGAGGACAGACAGATCAAATGTCGAAAGGTGATACCTGATTTAATTCCTGATGTCTTGCCTCTCAAATATATTGCCGGTGTGCAACCTATTGTCATTGTTATTATTACTATTATTTTCTTTACTTGTACCTGTTCCTGTGCTAGTGCCAGAGTATATTGCCTCTCTGAGTATTATTTTATACAACTTGAGTAGACTGTTGACAATTAATGTTCCCTCCTTTCAGTAAAAGTATATTTTGAAGACCTTATCAACTATAAAGAGTTTGGTTTTAAGCAGTTTTGATTTTGTACAGGATTATGAGAGCTTAACAAATAGTGATAGAAATTTGCATGGGCATTTTTGTGGCTCCATGATTAGTAATGATTTTGGTAGTGATGTTCCTGGTAGAGCCGTAGATTTTGGGATCAGTGGTTTTCTTTGAGTACCAAGATAGTGGCTATCATATCAGTGGATATCCAGTTTGATTGTGGATATTGGGTGGGTAGGTTAAGTAGACTTCTAAGTTGAGAGATGAGGGTAGAATTAAGCTGTTAGTGCCTTTTATCTTTATTTCTGTTATTGTATCATGAGGTTGTTGTTTGGGTTTGGCCTTATGCAAAATATGTTCTCTCTAAATATTCCCTTGATTCTTTCTATCCCTGTGACTCATTTCCTCATGACTCATATCTCATCCTGTGGTTCTTTTTTTCTCTTGCCACATGATTCCTCAATGTCTTGTCTCATGATTTTTTTCTTTCCCCTCATGACTCTCCTATGTTAATACTGTGCTTTTTCTCATCTCAAGAACCTTCCCTCTCCCTTCGTGATTCCTTCCTCACTCTTACCTCATGATTGTCTCTCTTTTTATCATGACTCCTCTCTCTCTTGCCTCATGAGTCATCTCTCACCCCATGACTTCCTCTTTTCCCTCATGATGTTTCTTTCCTTGCCACTTAATGATTCCTCCATCTCGCTTCTCATGGCTTCCCTCTCACCTCGTGAATTGGCCCTCTTGTCTCATAACTCCTCCCTCTCGTCTCATAACTCCTTCCTCTCGTCTCATAACTCCTCCCTCTCGTCTCATAACTCCTTCCTCTCGTCTCATAACTCCTCCCTCTCGTCTCATAACTCCTCCCTCTCGTCTCATAACTCCTCCCTCTCGTCTCATAACTCCTCCCTCTCGTCTCATAACTCCTCCCTCTCATCTCATAACTCCTCCCACTTGTCTCATAACTCCTCCCACTTGTCTCATAACTCCTCCCTCTTGTCTCATAACTCCTCCCTCTTGTCTCATAACTCCTCCCTCTTGTCTCATAACTCCTCCCTCTTGTCTCATAACTCCTCCCTCTTGTCTCATAACTCCTCCCTCTTGTCTCATAACTCCTCCCTCTTGTCTCATAACTCCTCCCTCTCGTCTCATAACTCCTCCCTCTCGTCTCATAACTCCTCCCTCTCGTCTCATAACTCCTCCCACTTGTCTCATAACTCCTCCCTCTTGTCTCATAACTCCTCCCTCTCTTGCC